ATTGCGTTTCCCTCCTTAAATAAAGTGAAGTAAGTAAGTGAGTTTAGAACGGAAAGGGATGAGTGTTTTTCCAGACGTCTACCTTATGAGTGTTCTCTTCCGAAGTTGTTACGTCTCCATGCTTTCTACCTTTTTGCTGCTTTCACTCAGTTGTTGAGATCAAGATTAGGTCTCATACGAACGAACATACTCTTGTTTGAGAGATTATTAACCCTAGTGAAACTGATCTGGCCTCTCTCTCTCTCTCTCTCTCTCTCTCTCTATTCTCTGGTTTTCTCTCCCTCTTTCCAGTACTATATCCTCCATTTCTTTGTACCGTTTTATCCGACTGGAAGTCTCAATTTTAGAGTGATTTCATTGAGCCTCTTTAAATACATTTTACTGTGGGTGCCACCTAGTCCAAACTAAAAGCTCGCCTGTATTACTCCTGCAATTATTTCACGAGGAATTGGTGAGAGAACAGCAGTGAAACGGTAAGGTACTTTTTTTAGCATTTATGTGGTCTTAGTGTTAGAATGTTATTGCAACTTGAACAACTCACCCAAATCAAATTTTCTTTTTTATCCAGACACCAGTTTACATTCTTGGAGTCTCGAGCATCTCCGGGCCTCGCTCCACCTGTCAGACGCTACCATTTTGAATTTGACTTCTCGAAGATCAGAACTCGTCCCTCAAAAAGCTGTTAGATACGAGGTGAGAGTCGTATAGATGGGCACGTGATTTAAGTATTGTCACGGTCGCGAGTAACTAACTGAAGTCCATCTCCGATTACAGTGCTTTCAATAAGACCCGGCACCCCCGGAGCTCCGGCGGGTATTCTGTTGTGAGTCGCCGGGTATATTTCACCGCGCTCAAATCACAGTCACCTCGCTAAGTCGCAATCAAGTCTCTTTCCGGGGGGTGTTATACCGAGGGAACTGAAGTCCATCTCCGATTACAGTGCTTTCAATAAGACCCGGCACCCCCCGGAGCTCCGGCGGGTATTCTGTTGTGAGTCGCCGGGTATATTTCACCGCGCTCAAATCACAGTCACCTCGCTAAGTCGCAATCAAGTCTCTTTCCGGGGGGTGTTATACCGAGGGAACTGAAGTCCATCTCCGATTACAGTGCTTTCAATAAGACCCGGCACCCCC